CAACAGTCACACATACAGCTCTCAACAGTCACACATACAGCTCTCAACAGTCACACATACAGTTCTCAACAGTCACACATACAGTTCTCAACAGTCACACATACAGTTCTCAACAGTCACACATACAGCTCTCAACAGTCACACATACAGTTCTCAACAGTCACAAATACAGTTCTCAACAGTCACACATACAGTTCTCAACAGTCACACATACAGTTCTCAACAGTCACACATACAGTTCTCAACAGTCACACATACAGTTCTCAACAGTCACAAATGTAGATCTCATCAGTCACACATACAGCTCTCAAGAGCCACACATACAGCTCTCAACAGTCACACATACAGCTATCAACAGTCACACATACAGTTCTCAACAGTCACACATACAGCTCTCAACAGTCACACATAGAGTTCTCAACAGTCACACATACAGTTCTCAACAGTCACACACACAGTCACACATACAGTTCTTAACAGTCACACATACAGCTCTCAACAGTCACACATACAGCTCTCAACAGTCACACATACAGTTCTCAACAGTCACACATACAGTTCTCAACAGTCACACATACAGTTCTCAACAGTCACACATACAGCTCTCAACAGTCACACATACAGTTCTCAACAGTCACACATACAGCTCTCATCAGTCAACACACACATACAGCTCTTCTCAACAGTCACACATACAGATCTCAACAGTCACACATACAGTTCTCAACAGTCACACATACAGATCTCAACAGTCACACATACAGCTCTCAACAGTCACAAATTTCAAGATCTCATCAGTCACACATACAGTTCTCAACAGTCAAACATACAGTTCTCAACAGTCACACATACAGTTCTCAACAGTCACACATACAGCTCTCAACAGTCACACATACAGTTCTCAACAGTCACAAATGTAGATCTCATCAGTCACACATATAGTTCTCATCAGTCACACATACAGTTCTCAACAGTCACACATACAGCTCTCAACAGTCACACATACAGTTCTCAACAGTCACACATACAGATCTCAACAGTCACACGTTTAGTTCTCAACAGTCACACATACAGTTCTCATCAGTCACACATACAGCTCTCAACAGTCACACATACAGTTCTCAACAGTCACACATACAGCTCTCAACAGTCACACATACAGTTCTCAACAGTCACACATACAGCTCTCAACAGTCACACATACAGTTCTCAACAGTCACAAATGTAGATCTCATTATTCACACATACAACTGTCAACAGTCACAAATGTAGATCTCATCATTCACACATACAGTTCTCAACAGTCACAAATGTAGATCTCATCAGTCACACATACAGCTCTCAACAGTCACAAATTTAGATCTCATCAGTCACACATACAGTTCTCAACAGTCACAACATACAGTTCTCAACAGTCACACATACAGTTCTCAACAGTCACACATACAGTTCTCAACAGTCACACATACAGTTCTCAACAGTCACAAATGTAGATCTAATCAGTCACACATACAGTTCTCAACAGTCACAAATGTAGATCTCAACAGTCACACACATACAACTCTCAACAGTCACAAATGTAGATCTCAACAGTCACACATACAGTTCTCAACAGTCGCAAATATAGATCTAATCAGTCATACATACAGTTCTCAACAGTCACACATATAGCTCTCATCAGTCACACGTACAGTTCTCAACAGTCACAAATATAGATCTAATCAGTCATACATACAGTTCTCAACAGTCACAAATATAGATCTAATCAGCCACACATACAACTCTCAACAGTCAGAAATGCAGATCTCAACAGTCACAAATGTAGATCTCATTATTCACAGATACAACTGTCAACAGTCACACACGTAGATCTTATTATTCACATATACAACTCTCAACAGTCTCACAAATGTAGATCTAATCAGTCACACGTACAGTTCTCAACAGTCACAAATATAGATCTAATCAGTCATACATACAGTTCTCAACAGTCACACATATAGCTCTCATCAGTCACACGTACAGTTCTCAACAGTCACAAATATAGATCTAATCAGTCATACATACAGTTCTCAACAGTCACAAATATAGATCTAATCAGTCACACATACAACTCTCAACAGTCAGAAATGCAGATCTTAACAGTCACAAATGTAGATCTCGTTATTCACACATACAACTGTCAACAGTCACACACGTAGATCTTATTATTCACATATACAACTCTCAACAGTCTCACATACAGCTCTCAATAGTCACACATACAGCTCTCAACAGTCACACATACATCTCTCAACAGTCACAAATGTAGATTTCATCAGTCACACATACAGTTCTCAACAGTCACAAATGTAGATCTAATCAGTCACACATACAACTCTCAACAGTCACAAATGTAGATTTCATCAGTCACACATATAGCTCTCAACAGTCACAAATGTAGATCTTTTCAGTCACACATATAGCTCTAAACAGTCACAAATGTAGATTTCATCAGTCACACATATAGCTCTCAACAGTCACAAATGTAGATCTAATCAGTCACACATATAGCTCTCAACAGTCACAAATGTAGATTTCAACAATCACACATACAGCTCTCAACAGTCACAAATGTAGATTTCATCAGTCAAACATGCAGTCTCTCAGTAGTCTCGCATACCTATGCAGCTGCTAGATAGGTCACGGAAACAGAAATATGAATGATCAATAAATGAATAAATCAGTAACTGATATATTTGCATACGAGACATTCCCATAGGTGCTCTGTCCCCCTTCTCAGTTACTAGCTGATGGTGTCATTCTTCGCCCTTTATTGTATAATTAGTCCAGACCCTCTTGCCACTGACGGTTGAATCATTCTTCTGAAATGTGTAGGCTCTGTTATGTGGCATCGTCTACTCAGTCGGCACTGTGGAAGGTTCATGCCATAATAGGGCATCAGCGGATACCAAGCATATCAGTACTCTAAGATTGCAGCGAATCATGTGGATAAACTGTCCGGGATATGCAAGAGTGTGAGGGAATAAAAGAGCGGATTGTCTGGCTACAAACGCGATACTCATGGAAACACCAATACTGGACCAGATATATATTCTGATGATCATATGTGATCGAATGTCACAGAAGACACGTGATCAGATGAAATAACACGTGTAATAATGTGTGAACCAAGAGGTTTTGAAAGAGGCAGGAGCCCGAAGACAACTTATCACAGACGTCAGAAGGAGACAGTAATCATTTTTCAGCCATGTTATGAGAAGAAGAAAAATAGAACATGTTGTGACCACTGGAAAGATCTGTGGAAGGAGAGATAGAGGAAGACAACGAGAGAAGATGCGTGACAGTCTTGTTGCATGGCATGGAGGTGTGTCGGCACACGAACTGATTCATGCTGCAGGAGATCGTGGATTATGTAGAGGCGTGATCGCACACGTCAGTTGACAAGGCACCTGATGATGATGAATGTGTGAACGAGGATTTAGGACTGGATCCGGCCAGGAGGAACAAATACGAGGAAGAGATCGGGGTCTGTATAATCAGTATGCTAGGGGAACAGTTAGCATCTACACCTTACGTCATTTACTGCAGGAGACGGAGCATCTATGGGTATGCCCAGTGTGCTATGATGTCGATTCCTAAATCAGTTATGTGTAAATCGACACGTCGTCTTCATCATTATATAGCTCACCGTCTGGAGAAACCGCAGCAGACTCTGCTGTACTTAAGCCTATCGCACCACAGCAACAAAAGGTACGACTCAGTTGCAAATTGCTTGCACGCAAATATCTTTAAACAACGTCCAATGGTCAATAAACCAAATCATTAGCAACATACGAAAAGTGAAATTGCTACAACAGTTGATCTAATCAAGTACATCACATGAGTGCACAAAGAAGAAGATATGAATATGGTTTCATCTACTTACGCGCAGCTCAAAATAATCATCCTTCCCAAATGACCTATAAGGCTTTTGTATTGGCATCTGTCAGAATGTAGCACAAAGCATCTTTAATGAGACATTACATGTACCAGTATGATTATATACCGATTGACCCTGTACACTTCAAAAGCTGGGACCTTCAGTAAACAGTCGATGCTGACATAATCCAGAAAAGAAATTTCTTTTTGTAAGGGGACCTATTATTCTACTAACCTAAAACTGCGTCAGACTATTGGTGGTTCGGCTATAAAACGAGGCTAGACTGAGATGTTGCTTCACTCTGGCAGATCTCTCCAGGTTACGTCAGAATAAACCAAGACAACTTCAAGAGTAAGTTCACTTGTTGTCGTCCTGTCGACTTCTCTGGTGGTGGCACTTCACCGACTTTCTTTTGGGCACCTTTTCTAGATTTTGTGAGCCTGAAGATTAGGGCTGTCTGGTCGCCCCAGACTTTGCAGGTGAGGATTCGAACCCGGGTCTCCCGCTTGAGAGCCCTGTGTTCTAGCCATTAGGCCAGCCCCTCTTAGTGGAAGATAACGTTTGTAATATTTCTAAAATTATTTTTGTGGCAGCTGGCCCTTCGTCAAGAACAGGTCTCAAGTGATTGTCTTCTGTCTTATCTCTAACTCTGAACAATGTTGTTGTTATTTTTGTTTACAAGTAGTCTACTATCATTGTTCAAGTCAGCATGTGGCACAGCTTCTTTCTGTCTCCTCCTCATTCTTCTTCTTCCTTCGCCTCCTTCTTCTATCTTCACTTTTTTTCTGCCCCTTTTTTCTAACTAATCCTCTTCCTTGTAGCTTCTCATTCTTCTTCTTCCTCCTTTTTCTTCTTCGACCAAATGCTCGTCCTACCTCCACCTCCTACTCCTTCGTCGACTCCTCTACCTTCTTTTACCTCCTTTCTCCTCATTCTAGTACACCCTACCACTACCATCCACATTAAAACAATAACAGTAATAATTATCATTTTACCATCACTACCGTTTTCATTATAATCATTGTATGGCTTGCTCCCGGCTAAACTGTATTGGATGCTTGTATTGTTGCAGACAATCATGACCATGAACATCGTAGTGCTGATGATGATGCTGGGCTGCTGCTCGTTTACCAGTAAGTGTCGCTTGCTTGATACAGTATTCTATCCTACGAGCAAGTGTGTGTGTGTGTGTGTCTATGTGTGTATGTGATGTCTCACAAAGTCCGAAAAAGAGATTTTTTTAAAAGTCCTATTTCTTCTTCGGTGTGATTATACGATGTTATTCTCTCATGTCTCCGTCAGTGTGACCGTGATTTTTTTTTTACGCATGTCTCCTTCAGTCTGATCAAGTGATGTTCTTGTCTCATGTCTACTTCAGTCTGACCAAGTGAGGTTTTTTACTCATGTCTCCTTCAGTCTGAGGAAATGATTTTTTTTACTTATGTCTCCTTCAGTCTGAGCAAGTGATTTTTTTGTGTCTCATGTCTCCTTCAGTCTGATCAAGTGATTTTTTTGTCTCAGTCTCCTTAAGTCTGACCAAGTGATTTTTTTTGTCTCATGTCTCCTTCAGTCTGAGCAAATGATGTTTTTGTCTCATGTCTCCTTCAGTCTGAGCAAGGGATGTTTTTGTCTCATGTCTCCTTCAGTCTGATCAAGTGATGTTTTTGTCATGTTTCCTTCAGTCTGATCAAGTGATGTTTTTGTCTCTTGTGTACTTCCAGTCTAAACAAATGATGTTTTTGTCTCATGTCTCCTTCAGTCTGATCAAGTGATGTTTTTGTCTCATGTCTCCTTCAGTCTGATCAAATGATGTTTTTGTTTCATATCTCCTTAAGTCTGATCAAGTGATTTTTTTAGGTCTGAGCATGTGATATTTTTGTCTCATGTGTCCTTCCAGTCTGAACAAATGATATTTTGTCTCAGGTCTCCTTCCAGTCTTAACAAATTATGTTTTTCTTTTCTCATGTCTTCCTCATTTTGAGCAAGTGATGTTTTTTTCTCTTTTGTACTTCCAGTCTAAACAATGCTGTTTTGTCTCATGTGTCCTTTCAGTCTGAATAAATGATGTGTTTATCTCATGTCTCCTTTAATCTCATGTGTGGTCTCATCTCTTGTCTCATCTCGTGTTGTCTTTGTCTCGTATCTCATTTAATCTTATCTGGTGTTGTCTTTGTCTCGTATCTCCTTCAGTTTCATGCTGTGTTGTCTTTGTCTTGTACCTCCTTCAATCTCATCACACGTTGTATTTGTCTCATGTCTCCTTCAATTTCATCACCTGTTACCTTTGTCTGATGTCTACTTCGCTACGATCAGATGAAGTGTTGTTGTGTATCGTGTCATGTCTCTAGAAGTGGTCGAACAACAAGAACGTTCATCTGGAGTTTACTGCCAGTGAACGTGACGTGGACGAGATTAGACGTCTGACACGAACCCTATCCTGCGTTTAACGATTTTACTCCAATGAGAAAATCTTGCAAATGTGGATTTGCAGAAGACGCCATAGAAGCAAGAGCAATCACATACAGAGGTTCTGTGAAAACTGCGAAGAAAGAGTAAGTGAAATTAAAAACAGAATTTTCTATATAAAAAGACATAATAAGATTACAAAATGCACGCTGGAGGGACAGGTCGAGGCCACAGAGCAAGAGGTAGATAACCTTGAACGTGTAAGGAGAGAATCAAGATATGGACGAACAGCAGTCTGGGAGAGTATACAATCAAACCAATAGACACAGATTTTTAAAGCTCAATTGCAGCCAACCTTCAAGGCGGAGGCGGCACCCACGAGTGACAATTTTGGAAACTGACGGTAAATTTTTAAAGGCCAGAATGTAAATATCGTTTTAGATAATGCTTTCAGAACTAAATAAGTTGATGCCTGCCTGCTAGCCATAACGTGCACGGGTTTGAGTCCCCCCAACAAGATAGTTTTTTTTTTTTAAACTGATCTAGTTTTCTGGGCCCACTAAGTCTAAAAATGTTAAATGTTCTATAGAAAGAAAATGCGCCTGACATGGTAATGTACAGACTACATTTCGAGTTTTGTTGACACTACTCATTATCATCATCAATGTTGCCTTGCCGACTGGCGTGGGCGATCATGCGAATACTCTCCATAGTCTGCGATTTCCTGCAGCATGTATCAGTTCGTGTGCTGACAACACCTCCATGCCATTTAAACAAGACTCGTCAAGCATCGTTTTCTCGTTGTCTTCCTCTATCTCTCCTTCCACATATCTTAAAAGTGGTCAAAACATGTTCTATTGCTCCCTCTTTTCATAACACACCCTGAAAAATGATGACTGTCTCCTGATGTCTGTGGTAACCACTTCGAGATTTCCGCCTCTTTCAAAACCTCTTGGTATGAGGGTTGTTGAAACGCTCCGAGTATTGTTGAAAATCTGGGGCATCATGTTAAACTTGAAATGTTGTTGAAACTATGGGGCATTAAATATTGCCTGGAGTATTGTTGCAACTATAGGGCACAAGGTCACCCTTCGATAAAGTTACTTAAAATCATTTGTTGACAATCATCATTAATAGACGCAAACCGACCTACACGATAGTTAAAAAACATATTTTAAAAAAAAGATAATTTTTTTGTTTACAACACCTCTAGGATTGCAGCCTTACCGAAGTACACTTAGTGACTCAAAGCTCAACTTTCCGGACACGAACCTAGCAGAAGCAAATCATGGAGATTTGGCTCAAATTATAAAAGAATGATATAAGTGTAGCAGACGATTACAAAGAAAACGAATGTCACAATGTGGGTGGGTTTGATCATTTCACTCCACTCTTGGACAATAGTAGTGATCTTGCACTGAAACAAGTTAAAACAGTATAAATAAGTAACAGTCGACTTCAGACTCTACATTGTCTTCCCTGAAACAAAGAAAGGTAACAGCTTGAAAGAATACTGTGTTTTATTTTTCAGGCGCAACTGGCAATGGAACAGGTTAGATATCTCAGTTTTCATCTGTTTTTTTTTTATTGCTTAAAGTAGATCATTGTACTCTAAAACCAAGATGTTACTGCTATTACTTAATGATGATATTCTGGAGAAGTATATTTTTTAAATAAAAATGTGTGTACGTATCCAGAAACCATTAGTTATTAACCCTTTGGCACTATATCTGGGAGAAATGTGGGTTCTTTGCCAACCCTTGGGTGTGAACCCGGACCACAAGGATTTTGTCACCCAGTCGCCGCGCAATCTGTTTTGAACCAACTGCGCTAGCGAGCCGGGAGGAGAAGTAGATATCTTGAGAGCTGCTTTGTCTTTTTATTAGGCCTAATCTTTAATGGGCCTAATCTTTAATGGGCCTAATCTTTAATGAGCCTAATCTTTAGTAGACCTAATCTTTAAGGGGCCTAATAATTAATGGGCCTAATCTTTTATGGGCCTAATCTTTTATGGGCCTGATCTTTAATGAGCCTAATCTTTATTGAGCCTAATCTTTAATGGGCCTAATCTTTTATGGGCCTAATCTTTTATGGGCCTGATCTTTAATGAGCCTAATCTTTATTGAGCCTAATCTTTAATGGGCCTAATCTTTAAAGGGACTAATCTTTAATGAGCCTAATCTTTAATGGACTTAATCTTTAATGAGCCTAATCTTTTATGGGCCTAATCTTTTATGGGCCTAATCTTTAATTGGCCGAATCTTTAATGGGCTTAAACTCCGCAAAGATTTATATAATAATCCAAAATGGCGCAATGATACTATTTCTGCTGCTATCCTCTGTTTAAAAAAGGCTAATTTATTGAATAAAGCGGACCTGATAAAGAACCTCTTCGATGAAATGGACGGTACACAACAGCAGCCAAAGAATCGACACACTAAAACAGTAATTAGATGAGATGTGAATGAAGGTTGTAGAAGACATTCAACGTTGCGGGGTAAACATGCGCGGACTTTTAAAACAAACTGCACCTATTAGCATGTGCACTCTTGATTGGTTACTCAAGTAGGCAACGGAGCACTTGTGGCCATTTCCTGCGTAAAGTGATGTCATTTATTGATTCATTTAGTCATTCATATGCATTACCAAGTCATCTCCTTTGTATTTAAGTGTATACAGGAAGAGTAAAATAATATAGTAAATATTATCCCTAATGTATTATCACAACATAACACGATAAATCCTTTGTAATGTATTATCACAACATAACACGATGAATACTTCGTAATGTATTGAAACCAACTTTCAAGGCTGAGGCGGCACCCACGAGTGACAATTTTGGAAACTGTAAATTATTAAAGGCCAGAATGTAAATATCTTCTAAGATTATGCTTTCAGAACTAAATAAGTTGATGCCTGCCTGCTAGCCATAACGTGCACGGGTTTGAGTCCCCCCAACAAGATAGTTTTGTTTAAAAACTGATCTAGTTTTCTGGGCCCACTAAGTCTAAAAATGTTCTATAAGAAGAGAATGCGCCTGACATGGTAATGTACAGACTACATTTCGAGTTTTGTTGACACTACAGGTCATTAAAACACCCCGCGAATGTTGTTTAAAATGGGGCATTAAAACACACTTTGAGATTTGCTGAAACTATAAGGCATAAAATCACCCTTAGAGCGTTGTTGAAACTATGGGGTATTAAATCACGCTTCGAGTATTGTTGACAATCTGGGGCATAATGTTAAACTTCAAATGTTGTTAAAACTATGGGGCGTTAAATCATGCCTCGAGTGTTGTTGAAACTGTAGGGCACAAAGTTACCCCTTACCGACGGACACTCAGTGACTCAAAGCTCAACTTTCCGGACACGAATCTGGCAGAAGCAAATCACTGAGATTTGGCACAACCTATAAAAGAATGATATAAGTGTAGCAGAAAATTACAAAAAAAACGAATGTCACAATGTGGGTGGGTTTGATCATTTCACTCCACTCTTGGACAATAGTAGTGATCTTGCACTGAAACAAGTTAAAACAGTATAAATAAGTAACAGTCGACTTCAGACTCTACATTGCCTTCCCTGAAACAAAAAAGATAACAGCTTGAAAGAATACTGTGTTTTATTTTTCAGGTGCAACTGGCAATGGAACAGGTTAGATATCTCAGTTTTCACCTCTTTTTTTATTGCTTAAAGTAGATCATTGTACTCTATAACCAAGATGTTACTGCTATAACTGAACGATGGTATTCTGGAGAAGTATATTTTTTAAATAAAAATGTGTGTACGTATCCAGAAACCATTAGTTATTAACCCTTTGGCACTATACTATTGACATCGCAACACGTTGGCCTTGATATTATGATAGATACCTTAAATCTGGGAGAAATGTGGGTTCTCTGCCAACCCTTGGGTGTGAACCCGGACCACAAGAATTTTGTCACCCGGTCGATAGATCATTTGTGTAATGGGGGATATTTTCATCCAGATTAGGAAGGTTGGGGGAAGGCCCAAAGCTAACCCGAAACACCGAGATATTCCAGATACTCGGATTAAACGAGGATCTTGAGATAGGTGATGACCATTAGTTATCACGGGTATCACGACAACGCGACCAAAGGTCGCCACGTGAAAGTAAAGGACCACCACGTGTTGCCACGTGAAACTAACTCGTGATATAAGTCAGACTTGATTCTGGTCAAGTTAGTTTTTGTCGACCTGTTGGAGCGAGAGAATGTGCGACAGAACGTGAGAATGTCATGGTAAGATGGCTTGTTGAGAAAGGAGACCCTGACGACAAAGTGTGAAGCCAAGATCGACCATGCCAGTCTGTTTAATGGTCAGAACCTCAACTGAGCTGATGGGAGCCGACTTTGGTCAGTGAATGCTTGAAGAAACTGCTCGTTGAAGGTTGCGTGAATTGGTGTGGGAGTGCTGTCATTAGGACAACAACTGGACTTTACTGTAAGTGTCAATATGCCAATAAACTTATGTCTCGTAAGCTTACGCAGGTGTCGGCTTGTACCATTTATGTAACGTGGAGCGTGTGAGAAGAACATTCACGACACACGCATGAACACCACCTAGACAACGAGAAATATAAACACCACATATTACAATTTGTAATGTATTATCACAGCCTAGCACGATAATTCCTTTCGCAATGTATTGTTACAACATTACAATAGGAATAAACTCACAGGGAGCAAGTACAGCAGGGATCTACCAGTCGTCAGTAGAAATTATCCTCGTCGACACGCGTTTCGGCCCACTATTCCTAGACGCATTCGGAGGTGGGCCCTCCTGAGTTCATGAAGCTCAGGGCTGGTTCCCTGCTGCACGGGATTACCGGATGGTGTTTTACTTTCGGCCAGAGACAAGACGACTTGGTGGTTTCGCAGGAGGTACTGTGAGATAAGAAGCCGCCACGGCAGCCTAATTAGAGCAGTCAGCGTGCCTGGACGACCGAGCGACAAGCTTGCTTTGGTTTACCGGACACATCTTGGACAAGCTTGCTTTGGTTTACAGGACACATGTTACACAATAAATCCTTTGTCCTGTTTTATCACAACAGAACACAATAAATCATTCGTAATGTGTTAACACAACATAACACGATAAATCATTCGCAAGGTATTATCACAACATAACTCGATAAATCCTTCGTTTGTATGTCTGAGCAGCACCGTGCCGCAACAATTTAGCAATCTCTTTTTGCCTGGATTCCTCTGGGAGCATGACCAAACCCAATTTCGACCAACAGAAAGATGCGGTAACCTATTTAATCGACCGGTTGAACATGTCATCTGGAAACGTTCAGTTAACCGTTGCATCCTATGGCTCGAACTGTTACCCACCTGTTAACAATTATACCAGAAACTCGACGTTAGCCAAAGAGGTAGGTATCTAGTTTTGTTGTTATAGATTGTGATGTGACACGCTGTAACTTACAGTTATAGACAGTCATGTGACCCACTGTAACTTAAAGTTATAGACTGTGATGTAACCCACTGTAACTTGAAGTTATAGACTGTGATGTGACATACTGTAACTTGAAGTTATAGACTGTGATGTGACCCACTGTAACTTAAAGTTATAGGCTGTGATGTGACCCACTGTAACTTGAAGTTATAGACTGTGATGTGACCCACTGTAACTTAAGTTATAGACTGTGATGTGACCCACGGTAATTTGAAGTTATAGACTGTGATGTGACCCACTGTAACTTGAAGTTATAGACTGTGATGTGACCCACTGTAACTTGAAGTTATAGACTGTGATGTGACCCACTGTAACGTGAGGTCATAGACTGTAATGTGACACACTGTAACGTAGCGTTATAGATTTTGATATGACCCACTGTAACATGACGCTATACAATGTGATGAGACCCACTGTAACGTGACTTTATAGACTGTGATGTGACCCACTGTAACATAACGGTATAGACTTTGATTTGACACGCTCTAGCGTGACGTTATGGATTGTGATGTGACACACTGTAACATAACGTTATAGACTGTGATGTGACACGCTGTAACATAACGTTATAGACTGTGATGTGACACGCTGTAACATGACGTTGTAGACTGTGATATTACCAACTGTAACTTGAAGTTTTAGAATGTGATGTGACCCACTGTTGCTTGAATGTTATAGCCTGTGATGTGACACGCTGTAATTTGACGTTTTAGACTGATGTGATCCACTGTAACTTGAAGTTATAGACTGTGCTGTAACACGCTGTAACAAGACGCTATAGACTGTGATATGACCAACTGTAACTTGAGGTTATCGACTGTGATATGACACGCTGTAACATGACGTTGAAGACTGTCATGTGACAGACTGTAACTTGAAGTTATAGAATGTGATGTGACACGCTGTAACAAGACGTTATAGACTGTGATATGACCAACTGTAACTTGAGGTTATCGACTGTGATATGACACGCTGTAACATGACGTTGAAGACTGTCATGTGACAGACTGTAACTTGAAGTTATAGAATGTGATGTGATACAGTGTTACCTGAAGTAATAGACTGTGATGTGACACGCTGTAATTTAATGTTACAGACTGTGATGTGACCCACAGTAACTTGACGTTATAGTCTGTGATGTGACACACTGTGACTTGAAATTATAGACTGTGATGTGACCCACTGTAGTTTGACGTTATAGATTGTGATGTGACACACTGTAACTTGACGTTATAGACTGTGATGTGACCTACTATAACTTGACGTTATGAATGATAGGACACCCTGTATCATGACGTTGTAGACTGTGACGTGACCCACTTTAATTTGAAGTTATAAATTGTGATGTGACCCACTGTAACTTGAAATTATAGATGGTGATGTGACCCACTGTAACTTGAAGTTATAGTCTGTGATGTGACACGCTGCAGCGTGACGTTATAGATTGTGATGTAACACACTGTAACTGAAAGTTATAGACTGTGATGTGACTCACTGTAACGTGACGTTTTTGACTGTGATGTGACACATCGTAACTTGACGTTATAGACTGTGATGTGACCCACTGTAACTTGACGTTATAGACTGTGATGTGGCCCACTGTAACTTGACGTTATAAACTGTGATGTGACCCACTGTAACTTGACGTTATAGACTGTGATGTGACCCACTGTAACTTGACTTTATAGACTGTGATGTGACCCGCTGTAACTTGAAGTTATAGACTGTGATGTGACCCACTGTAACTTGAAGTTATAGACTGTGATGTGACCCGCTGTAACTTGAATTTATAGACTGCGATGTGACCCACTGTAACTTGACGTTATGGACAGTAATGTGACCCACTGTAGCTTGACGTTATAGACTGTGATGTGACCCACTGTAACATGACGTTATAGACTGTGATATAACACCCTGTAACATGACGTTATAGACTGTGATGTAACCCACTGTGACCTAAAGTTAGGGACTGTGATATGAAACTCTGTTACATGACGTTATAGACTGATGTTACACACTGTAACTTGATGTGATAGACTGTGATATGACACGCTGTAACATGACGTTATAGACTGTGATATGACCCACTGAAACATGACGTTATAAACAGTGATGTAACACACTGTAACGTGACGTTACCGACTGTGATATGACACTCTGTTACATCTCGTTATTAGACTGTGATGTGACACACTGTAACTTGAAGTTATAGACTGTGATGTGACCCACTGTAACTTGACGTTATAGACTGTGATGCAACACCCTGTAATTTGACGTTATAGACTTTGATGTAACCCACTGTGACTAAAGTTAGGGACTGTGATATGACACTCTGTTACATGACGTTATAGACTGCGATGTTACACACTTTAACTTGATGTGATAGACTGTGATATGACACGCTGTAACATGACGTTATACACTGTGATGTTACCCACTGAAACATGACGTTATAGACAGTGATGTAACACACTGTAACGTGACGATATATTTTGAGATGTGACACGCTGTAACGTGACGTAACAGACTGTGACGTAATTCACTGTAACGTGACGTTACAGACTGTTATGTGATTCACTCTAACGTGACGTTATAGACAGTGATGTGACGCACAGTAACGTGACGTTATGGAATGAGATGCGACAAGTAACTTGAGTGTATCGACGTGATGTGACACATTTTAACTTGATTTTAGACTGTAATATGATAGACTGTAATGTGACGTTACACAATGTGATGTGACTAATGATGACATGATGACATGATGACATGATGAAATGGTGACATGATGACATGATGATATGATGACATGGTGACATGATGACATGATGACATGATGACATGATGACATGGTGACATGATGACATGATGACATGATCAGTCACAAACCAAATGGAAATGGGGAGAACCTAACCATATCATACACATTCACACACACAAACATAAACACACACACGCATACACACACATATACACACACACATACACAAACACACGCATAGATACACACACACGCACACATACATAACAAGAAAAATAATCACATTCATTACCCTTGACCTTGGCGAGCTGTCTCAAATTCTGCGCTGTTTTCATGTAATATTATTCGCAATCCGTTCTTTTTGACATCTGGATTTTTAAATGATATCTTGTGGTTTGATTCCCGTATTCTAAGTCTGTAGCATTACAATTACAAATTTCAGTACGTTTGTGATGAGAAAAGTCAACTTTATTATGTTTAATTGACTAATGGTTCAGCGACGTGGACAAACTTCTGCAATGCTTTAACAACATGCAACATGAATGTGGTCACACAAGAAGTTTACTGATAGGACTACAATGTCAGTTTATGAAGCTGGCGTCCAGAGCCTGCTTCTGGACCGCAACAGCCAAAGCTTTTAAATATATACTAAATAGAGCAGGAATGCCAGAAATCTACTCTGAAGCAAAGGCGTCTGCGATTGTTAAGACGTGTCTCTCGCATGAAGGCTGGTGGCATTCCGAAGGATCTCCTGTATCTTGAATTGGCAACGAGAATAAGAAGGCAAGAAGGCCAAAGTTGTCCAATAATGACATATGCAGACGTGACCTGAATGATATCAACATTAGCACAGACACAAACAGATCGTCAGCAGACCGAATCGTGTAGAGGCAGGCAGTGAAATACGAACCTTTGTATTTTGACAGATGCCAAACGTAGCTTGCTGTAGACAGGAGAGAGTCTCAGAATGAAAGTATCGACCTTTTTATGTGCACTATGAAGCAGAGACTGCAACTTCCGCATTGGACTTGAGTTCAGCAGACGCTGTTCCCATCAGAGCGATAGAACGTTATGGTCCCCAGGGGCTGATCGTTGCCTAAATACACAGTGACATTACCGAACCAGAGGCGTTCCTAGAATTTACTCTCACCGCTTGACAGAATGTATTTTCCCATGCTAAATGTTTAACTAAATTACATTTGGGCGCTCAGCCCCAATTTAATTAGGCTGCAGTCGAAACCTGTGTGGGTTACTTCAAGTTACAGCGTGTCACATCACAGTCTATAACGTCAAGTTACAGCATGTCACATCACAGTCTATAACGTCAAGTTACAGTGGGTCACATCACAGTCTATAACGTCAAGTTACAGTGGGTCACATCACTGTCTATAACGTCAAGTTACAGCGTGTCACATTAAAGTCTATAACTTCAAGTTATAACGGGTCACATCACAGTCTATAACTTCAAGTTAAAAGAGGGTCACCACAGCCTATAACGGTCTGAGTCATACCACTGCCCGGAAATCAATGTCTATAACCCAGTTAAACTCGGAAATTATAATACGGGTCACATTACCAGTCTATAACTCAAGTTACAGTGAGTCACACTGTTGTTTACGGTACACAGCACTGTTTTTACGGGTCACAGCACACAGTTTCGGTACACGTCACTGTTGTTTTACGGGTCACCAGCACTGTCTTAACGGTCACCACCAGCACTGCTGTCACATCACTGTCTACACGTCAGCAGTTACCAGTGGGGTCACATTCAGCAGTGCTATAACTTGACAGTTAGCAGTGCTTGTTACGGTGACACAGTCTATAACTGCTGTTTACAGTGGGTCACGTCACAGTCACAACTGTTTACAGTAACACCGTCACTGTCTGTTTCGGTGACACCAGCACTGCTGTTCACGTCACCAGCTATAACTTCAAGTTACAGTGTGTCACGTCAGCAACTGCTGTTAACTTCACCAGTTACAGCTGTTTAAGGTCACCGTCAGCAGTCTGTTAACTTGAAATAGTAAAAGAGTTTACCCCACACCAGCACTGCTGTTAACGGTGACATAGCACTGCCGTTTTATCCGGTGATCCCAGAGCACTGCAGTAAACGGTCAGCTCTGCTGATAACGAGGGCACCTACCGGTGACACCAGCACTGTTGTTTACGGTGACACCAGCACTGCTGTTTACTGTGACACCAGCACTGCTGTTTACGGTGACACCAGCACTGCTGTTTACTGTGACACCAGCACTGCTGTTTACGGTGACACCAGCACTGCTGTTAACTGTGACAACCAGCACCAGCTGTTTACAGTGACACCAGCTATGCTGTTTACTGTAGGACACCAGCACTGCTGTTTACTGGTGACACCAGCACTGCTGTTAACTGTGACACCAGCACTGCTGTTTGTTACGGTGGACACCAGCACTGCTTATTTACTGTGACACCAGCACTGCTGTTTTACTGTGACACCAGCACTGCTGTTAACTGTGACAACCAGCACTGTTATTTAACTGTGACACCAGCACTGCTGTTTACTGTGACACCAGCACTGCTGTTAACGGTGACACCAGCACTGCTGTTTACTGTGACACCAGCACTGCTGTTAACTGTGACACCAGCACTGCTGTTTACGGTGACACCAGCACTGCTGTTTACGGTGACACCAGCACTGCTGTTTAACTGTGACACCAGCACTGCTGTTTACGGTGACACCAGCACTGTTGTTTACGGTGACACCAGCACTGCTGTTGACAGCACTGCTGTTTACCAGCACTGCTGTTTACGGTGACACCAGCACTGCTGTTTACAGTGACACCAGCACTGCTGTTTACGGTGACACCAGCACAGCTGTTTACGGTGACACCAGCACTGCTGTTTACAGTGACACCAGCACTGCTGTTTACGGTGACACCAGCACTGCTGTTTACTGTGACACCAGCACTGCTGTTAACTGTGACACCAGCACTGCTGTTTACTGTGACACTAGCACTGCTGTTTACTGTGACACCAGCACTGCTGTTAACTGTGACACCAGCACTGCTGTTAACTGTGACACCAGCACTGCTGTTAAATGTGACACCAGCACTGCTGTTAACTGTGACACCAGCACTGCTGTTTACTGTGACACCAGCACTGCTGTTAACGATGACACCAGCACTGCTGTTTACGATACAAAAAGCGCTGCTGTGCAGGTGAGAAGGCTTGTCAGTAAGTCACAAGAAGATACTGGTTTTTTAAACTGCCTACTGCGACAATGGATCCCTGGTAAGTAAAGGCTGTGAAACCAAACAGGCTCATAACCTCACTGTCACAGAGCAAGTGTTTTCTTAGTAGAGTCGTCTTTACCAGACAGTTGTTGCGACTGTAGCTATCGTCACGTCTGGGGATCTCTGATCTTTCTCTCTTTGGTTAACAATGCTTCACATCCAGCTGCAAATAAGGTGAAGTTAAAAAAAAAATTAAAAAAAACTCGTTTACGTCTTTTGATATTTTAGGCATATAGGGCTAGACCTCTATTTTAGAGACAAATCGTCACTTGGTGGGCGATGTGATCAGCATCACTCTGGCCGCTTTTACTTCCCATGACTTTAACTGGCACTTGTTTCAGGCTAGGTCGACATTGTAGCCAAAGTCATTTTTATAATAAGTCTGAATAAGTTCAAATTTGAACCCACAACTTCGGATCCGTAAGCGAGCGCTCAACTCTACATCACTACAAATCGCGCATTTAATTATTTTATATTGACAGAAATATAGTTTGTACAAATGTTGATTCTTGTGGGTTCGCAGATGGTCAAAAATACAACTTACAGAGGCAGCACCACTGAAACTGGCTTATGTCTCAAGTGGGCCAATGGTCTGCACGACACATATGGTGATCCTAAAGCGGTGTGTTTAATTTTGATAATGACTGACGGAGGCTCCACCAACCAAACCCAGAGTAAGCACAGGTTGTATTTTAATGTTGTTATCATGTTTCTACCATACAGTCATCGCCGTCTGTGGCATAGGCGGTGGGAACTTCCTTCGTAATGCCCGGCTAACGGGTTCGATCCCAGCTGCGGACGGTTTGTTTTGCGTTGGTTTTGACAGTGATACCAAGAGCTGCCCATCCGCAATGGCAAACTTCTGAACGTAAAATGTGTCTAGAAAAACAACAACAGCCAACATATGCTGGGCTGGGTCTGCAACATCCTGTAAAGGATACACAACTAACTTTAACCATTCCGTCAATTAAGACAGCCATATATCACAAGGTCGACTTAGCTGACAATTAACCATAGGTCGGCTTAGATAGCCATTTACGACATGATGACAATTTATCACACAGCTGGCGTAGATAGCCATTTACCACATAGTCGGCCCAGATGACCATTTACCACAGTCAGCTTGGATAGCCATTTATCACACAGTCGGTTTAAAAAGCTTTTTACCACACAATTGGCTTAGTAATTGCCATATACCACACGATCTGTTAGACTGCCATATACGATCTGTTAGATTGTCATTCACCACACGATCTGTTAGATTGCCATTTACCACACGATCTGTTAGATTGTCATATACCACACGATCTGTTAGATTGCCACATACCACACGATCTGTTAGATTGTCATATACCACACGATCTGTTAGATTGCCATATACCACACGATCTGTTAGATTGTCATATACCACACGATCTGTTATATTGCCATATACCACACGATCTGTTAGATTGCCATATACCACACGATCTGTTAGATTGCCATATACCACACGATCTGTTAGATTGCCATATACCACACGATCTGTTAGATTGCCATATACCACACGATCTGTTAGATTGTCATTTACCACACGATCTGTTAGATTGCCATATACCACACGATGGGTTATATTACCCTTTTCCACACAGTCGGCTTAAATGACAAATTACCACAAAGATGGCGTGGCTCGTGGAGAAAGGGGCAGGGGCACAAGATATATGTGACTCTATGGGTATAATACACGTGCACGAGATGGAAGATCTGGCGAGAGATCGTACGAACGAACGAACGAACGAACGAACGAACAAACTTTTTTTTCAAAGGGTTACAATTTGGGCACACAGGCCCGTGTGACATTCGGCCCTTCTAAGCACTCATTTTTTCAGAGTACCAGTGCCTGTTATCAATGATACATGTTATTTATATAATAAAGAAATATACACTATAGAAAAATACATACACGCATATCAATACACAATCTTATACCATCAGACACACACACGTACACATACTCCTAATTCTCATACATACACACTCATATACAGACATACGTAATACATACATACACACACAGACATAAAACACACACACATACATTTATACATAGACATACATGCACACCTACACATGCATGCATGCATACACACACACACAGTCACATATACAGACACCCACATTCACTAACATATATACACCCACATACATGCATATATACACCCATCCATACTTATATATGCGTTTGTGCGTGCCACTGTGTTTGTGTAGTGAGCAGTGCTTGGACTAAGAGCTGGACTATGCTCTTACCCCCCCCCCCCCCTTTTTTTTAACACACATTTTCTGAGAGGAAGGGTCTCAACTGGAATAATATAGGGGTGCCTAGGTGACCATGTTCTTAGTGCACTTGTATTCATGGCGAGGAGCAGACGCCGTCTGGAGGTGACAGGTCCAATGCCCGGCACGGTAACTAGCTTTCGATTTTTATGTTGACTAGTGTGTTCTTCTATCTCTCTACTTCTTTCTATGAGTTCCGATCAATACACTTTCTGTTACTTGATTAATTCAACTGGACTAAGGACATAGTTTATGTGGCCCTTTGAAGGAGTGCTAGCATGACGTCACGTACAAGTAGGCAAAACTACGCAGCCCTTTCCAGCCCCTTAAGCGTATTGCTCTTGGAGGGCTAGGCCTATATTTATAGATCAATAGGCACTGGACTGCACCACACCGACCGCCTTTACTTCCCAGCACGTTTACATGGTACCAATAAGCTGGCTCAACCTCAGGGGCCAAGGTCAATTTTGACAAATATCCGGCTCTGTCACGACCTAAACCCACGTCTCTCCGATCCATAGGCGAGCATCTAGTCGCTACACCATAGAGGCTGTCATCGGGGAAAATAGAGGTAGGCCTATACTTTATGGACCAACCGGCACTTGGTATGTGATCTGACCCCATCACGCCGCCCATCTTTGCTTCCCAAGACCTTTATCTGGTACTTATGTAGGGTGGGTCTACCTGAGAAAGGTCTAACTTCGAATTTGATCCCACGACTTTCAGATCCCCAGGCTAGCCTCTTTTTACTACATCACGGCTGCTTCTATCAAGTCACGGGGCCACCCCAAAATGAAATTTTTGGATAATTGTGTGAACTGTCCTCCCTGATCGCGGTTTTTAAATGTCTCTTTGATCTTTTCTTGGCAGCATTGGAAACTTCTCAACAGGCTAGGGACAAAGGATGCATTGTTATCACTATTGGAATTGGCGATAAGATTAACTTAGCTGAATTAAAAGCTATGTCAACCAATAACAGCGTTATACTCATTGAGTCATTCAATGACCTGCCCAAAATACTTGACCAGTTAACTGAAAAAGTGTGCAATGGTAAGTAACCTGGTAAAATGATAATATTTTTTTTTAGCTTCATAGCAAACGGGACAACACGTAGTTGCTTTGCTTTTATTTTAACTAGGGCTGTACCGAATATTCGCTTCGTATTTGCTTCAGATCCCAATAGTGGACCTATTGACTATTCGGTATTCGGCCGAATAGTTGCAGTCGGGCCGAATACGAATAGTAGTTACTTTACACCAGCTTCTGAATACACTGCCTTAATGCTGATAACATGGAACGATTTGTTTTGTTGAAAGCTAATGCAGCTTTCATGCATTAACTAATCTGTCTGTGACAATTTTCACGTTTAGTTACTTGTTATAATACTTAGGATTCTTTCATTCCTAGTTACCACAGACTGACTGAATGATGCAAAACATAAAACGTTTTTAAATGTTTACTATTCTGTACGAATACTAACTAGACATGGAAAAAATATAAACTCCGGCCACATCCAAGTTGTTAATATGAAAATCTAACGAACGGAAAAATATAAGTACTTGGTTCCAAACCTCAATTGCTCCAACGTGGTGAGAGAAGAAATACAATCTAGAATACAATCTAGAAATAAAGTAAACTATGCCCTTCAACATCTGCTAAAGTCAAAGTTTGACCAAGATCAAAATATATAAAACATTGATAAGACCAGTCGTTTTATATGGCTCTGAAACTTAAGCCAGAAATAAAAGAGATGAGGCCTTATTACAGGTTTTCGAAAACAGTCTTACGACAAATCTTTGGACCCATCAAAGATGCTATCAGCGGGGAATGGAGAATGAGAAGCAGCAACGTAACACATAAACTGTTTAATTTAAATCACCATTGATCACTTGCATCAAAAGAGCTAACAGACTAAAATGGTTGGGGCATATTGAAAGAATGTCAGATGACAGAGAAGTAAAAACTGTATACACCTGAGAGACAAATGGGCGTAGACCACGATTCGGACAAAAAAAGAAGTTCGAGAGATAATGTCCAGCTAGACCTGCAAACAACTGGTGTCACAAATTGTGAAAATAAGACCAGCCAGAGAGATGAATGGAAACGAGTGATATCTGCAGCAGTAAACCTCAAGGGCTCAGAATGCTAAAGAAGAAGATGACTGTCCTGCGCTACTTTATGTGAAGTAAAAGTTCAGTGTACATTGACATAATAAATTTTTTTTATTCGTTTTAGATATATTTTAACACAATACACTATTCGTATTCGGCCGAATAGTTGGTGCCGCTATTCGTATTCGGAAAATCACTATTCTGTACAGCCCTAATTAAAACCACAAACACACAGCGGGTCCATCACTGAAGTTTCAGTAAATCCATTAACACACACACGCATTAAAAGCATAATCAGCCATCGGAAGTGCTAACGCAGAAAGTCTGACATTAAAAAAGCAATTCATCATCGACGGAAGCAGCAGTAACAATCAAATCAGCAGTTGCACAACAATCAATTTAAATTACGTAAGGCACCACCATTTCGGTGGTAACAGACCAGGCGCTATTTTCTGACTCTACAGTTTTTAACACCCGTTAACACAGTCTAGATGAAATGAGTATCGCGCCTTTCACTTGGGGGACGACAAAACTATATCCTTTCAGTCTTTAAATGGAGGAAAACGCAACGGCTATCGCCTGTCACAAGCAAACAGTGTGTCACAGCTAAGAAATACTCACCGTGCCCTACGTCTATTTTCACCGAAATGCCAGTTAGAGTTAAAATATATATATATATATATCCTTTTGCAGAGCTGCATGAAACATTGAGTGCTGATATTTACCAAACATGCTATAGGAATTTACACAATGACTGCCACAGAAAGCAATGGCAAACTATTAGGCGAAAATTTAACTTAAAAAAAACAGCCAAATTTATTAGGGTTGGCTTTGTGCTTCCTGTACAGGATATGCAACTGATACAGGATATGCAATTGATATAGGATATGCAACTGATACAGGATATGCAACTGACTTATCTTTAAAGCCATTTGAGCAAGGATTATTTTTCTCTCCTTTGTCGTCTCACTGATACCAGATTGTTAGCCATGTATCCTGGTTTTGTCGTCTCACTGACACCAGGTTGTTGGCCATGTATCCTGGTTTTGTCGTCTCACTGATACTAGGTTCTTAGCCATGTATCCTGGTTTTGTTGTCTCACTGATACCAGGTTGTAGCAAGTGTCGTGGTTTGTCGTCTTACTGACACCAGGTTGTTGCCATGTGTCCTGGTTTTGTCGTCTCTCTGTTACCATGTTGTTAGCCATGTATCCTGGTTTTGTCGTCTCACTGATAGCAGGTTGTTAGCCA